GTGGAAAGACAATACACTACTACAAGACAAGTATTAATTACATTACATTACTAGAGTAAATGTACTTTGTTTCTCCCCACCACTGGACGTACACATAATTCCTTTGTGATCAAATACTAAACACATGCATGCCTTCCTGGCAGAAACCCCAAAGTTGTCACATGTTGAGCAGCAGATTTAACACAAAGTACACCTGAGGCTAGGAAAAGTCTCATTATGGGAAGATATGTGTGCAGGTGTGTTGCAGCATGTACATGTGCTCTAGTTCTCCTCTACAGTAAATCTCTCTTTCTTATCTCAACAGTTTTTAAAACCAGCAGAAACAAGTCAGCACAAAAGGCGACCCTGACACTGAGCTTCTTCTGAAACAAATGCAGAACAAAGAGAACATCAAAAGAGATTTGTTGGAAGGTCTACAACATGCTGAGAAACTGCAGGAGGAGACACACATCAGAGGAGCCTTTAAAACCAACAGAAACACAACATACACTGTGCACTCAACAGCCTGTTAGTTACTGGATCCATACCTTAGGAAATACTTTTATTCAAATACTAAGACTTGTTTTAAGTATTGATACTGGCATCAATAGGATTGATTTCATCATACATTATGTTTTATGCAAATTAAAAGCTTTTTTAGTGCACTTTCTGCTTCTTTGCTGCCATTGTTTGCATGCACTGATAGCAAAGATAATTCATATAAATATTCAATAAAGTGTTATTGTTTTGATCATGTATTTAACATCCATGGAATAAAGATATTAACAGAAATCGGTAAAAAAATAAATGCCTAATGTGAGCGTTGGGGAACATTTTTCAGTGGCAATATAAGAAACATCTTAATTATGCATTTAAGACATGTATTGGTACATCTGCATTACATAATCATATTCATCATATCAAATATTTATATTAAATCAATTATCCCTAGTGTTTCTTGGTATCAAATCATAATTAAATGTTCTGAATCCTCTACTTTGTTGGGATAAATCCTGTTATTATTCAAACCATTTTTAACCAGTTATCTGTAATCTGTTGAAAAGCATTTATACCTATATCTGTAAATTACCGGTTGGTGCCACAGAGAGTTCACACAGCAACAGGTGGACAGTGAGAGATGCCGAGAGATATTTCATGTGTGAGTTCTTTTAATAAGGAGCCAGGATTTGCTCAGCCCTGCACCACAGGGTGTGTCCATTAGCTCCGAGTACCTGTGTGTTTGCTAAAGAGAAGCAGAGAGCCCTGCACTGTTATTAACTCCACAATGTTTGTTACACAGAGGCCACTGAGTCCCTCTGCTCTCAGTTGCCATGGCACTGACCCATAAATCATGTCAAGACTTATCTCAGAAGCAAGGTCATATCAAAGTGTATAAAGTCTCAATATAAGCATTGCATGGAGAATAAAGAAGTACTTTAACCCTAGTATTTTCACAGTATAAAGACCATTAATACTATTTCAGAATGCCCCGCTGACTGTAATTAGACAACTCCTTGTCTACTCTAAAATATCAAGGAACCACCTCGATAGGCCGAAGTGAGATAACGATATTTTTCCCATTTGTTTGAAAAAACACTGTATCGAAATTCTGAAAGAAACTCATTTTGTAAAATGCAGCACTGCAGAAAGAAGATTTAATTATACGTTCACCTGATTGTATTTATAATGTTGATTCTTAATCTTTTTCATTTAGCTCTTCTATTGCATGCTTTTACTTATGTTGCTATAACTTTGGAAAATGTAGACCATAATCATATTCTTCTTTTTCTATATCTTCTATCTAGCTACGTCGCTAATGAGGCTTAAAACAATCAAGAACCTGCCTTTAAAACCTTCATTTTTTATAATTTATTTGGTGAACCTGGAGCCATTGTGCACCAGAGGGGTAGGGGGCTAAGACACATTGGTTATCTACATTGGTATCTTACCTGGAAGTTTCCCACCATGATGAGCCCTGCAGCACAGATCCAGGCGCTGGAGAGGCCGGCCGTGTTGAGGATGCAGTTCTGGTGCTTCTCGATCACATGAGCGTAACGCAGCAGAGCAATCAGCATCACTGCAGGGACAGATGGAGAGAGGAAGAAATAAGAAAGAGACATCTCATCATGCCGTCTGGTGACCACATCTGGCTTAAATCTTCCAGCAACTTTGCCAATCTACAAGCTGGATTTCAGATGTTTACACTGTCCACCATGCATTGTCTTTGCCTACTAATTTTATGTTTTTTCTCAGCGTAGAAATTTAGTTCAACTGAATGTTTAGTGTCTTATCACTGTCTATAGGTCTAAATTTAAATATATATATATATTTTAAGCCCATGGGAATTTTAAGCCCATGGGAATTTTGATAATTGCAGTCTGATCCGACCTAGTGTGGTATACTGTATGTGTGATGTATCTCTACAATTGCTTTACTGTAAACGTAAAATAAAAAATAAATAAATGACAAATTTGCTAACAGTATCAGCGATGGGCAGCACAAAAAAGGAACAAGGTCAGTGTTGCATCTGTTACATAAGTACTCAGTGCCTAGCAGATCTCGGTGCGCGCAGATTCCTGGTCAGTGTTTATTAATCTGCTCCATCAAAGTCTTCACAGCAGCTTCACGGTACCTACATGACCAACCTGATGCTCATACCGCTCCACATCTCGGTACACATCACGCAGACACAGTACAAGACAGCGACTGTTAAGATGTCCATATCTGTTACTCCAGGAAGCAGGGAAACCAAGCGGCAGGCAGATAGAAAGACGCGGGGAGTCTCTCTCATGTAACGCTCACCACCACAACTCAGAGTTAAAACAAGCTGCCTCACTAACATAAAACCTCATTTCAGAGTGAAAACCTTTGGGGTTACCTATTATCAAACCCCTAGTTATATAAGCACCAGACGGAGCCCTCTACTGGACTCTATGGGTAGCTACCACTCTTCAAACCATACCATGCAAGATTCACCTACTGAGATATCCTAATAAACGTAGCCGGGCCCGGGGCGGCTACCTGAATGCGCTGGCAAGCACAACCGTATAAAAGGCGGCCTCGCCTCCTGACTGTTATCCTACACCCTATTCAGCGATGCGGCATAGGACAGAACAGGGCCCCGAGTAGAGGGACTCCGTCTGTGCTTAAATAACTAGGGTTACAATACCTAACCCTCGTTATATCTTACACCATGCATAAAACAGCACTGCACCTCGCAACCTCCTCTCCTCCGGGTGTCGACCGTGGAGAAGACGGGGCGCAGTTTACTTGGCTGCTAAGAGCACTGAGATATCTATAAACGGTAGCCGGGCCNAACAATCAACATCGGCACCTCTGTTGTTTCCCCGACTCAGACTGCAAGGAATCTGGGTGTGACCCTAGATAACAAACTGTCCTTCACTGCAAACATCGCTGCTACAACCCGCTGCTGCAGATACACCCTTTACAACATCAGGAGAATACGTCCCCAGCTGACCCAGAAAGCGACGCAGCTTCTGGTCCAGACTCTTGTCATCTCACGCCTAGACTACTGCAACTCCCTCCTGGCTGGTCTACCTGCATGTGCCATCCGACCTCTGCAGCTCATCCAGAATGCAGCAGCTCGTCTGGTCTTCAACCTTCCTAAATTTTCCCACACCACGCCGCTCCTCCGCTCCCTTCACTGGCTTCGGGTAATTTCTAGAATCCACTTCAAGACACTGGTACTTGCGTACCATGCTGCGAATGGATCTGGCCCTTCCTACATCCAGGACATGGTTAAACTGTACACCCCAGCACGTGCACTCCGCTCTGCATCAGCCAAACAGCTCGCTGCACCCGCACTGCGAGGGGGACCCAAGTTCCCATCAGCAAAAACACGTGGGTTTGCTATCCTGGCTCCAAAACGGTGGAATGAGCTCCCCATTGGCATCAGGACAGCAGAAAGCTTGCACATATTCCGGGGCAGACTGAAAACTCATCTCTTTCGACTCCACTTCGATCGATAGAATTACTTACAAAGCACTTATATACTAAAAAAGGACTGGCTTATCTAAAGCCAGTTGAGTAGCACTTGAAATATTTTAGCTCTATGAAACCTGATGTACTTACAATGTAATGTAAAAAGCCACAAGAAAAACTGTTCAGATTATGTTTACATTTTAAGGTTGAGGGTTAACGTTTTACAGATTTGTAAGGTTAGAAAACAAGTGTAATTCTTTTAAATAAGTTNAATTACTTACAAAGCACTTATATACTAAAAAAGGACTGGCTTATCTAAAGCCAGTTGAGTAGCACTTGAAATATTTTAGCTCTATGAAACCTGATGTACTTACATGATTCTGTTTTCTTCAAGTTTGTATTTTGTTGGTCGAACGCACTTATTGTAAGTCGCTTTGGATAAAAGCGTCAGCTAAATGCAATGTAATGTAAAAAGCCACAAGAAAAACTGTTCAGATTATGTTTACATTTTAAGGTTGAGGGTTAACGTTTTACAGATTTGTAAGGTTAGAAAACAAGTGTAATTCTTTTAAATAAGTTGCACAAATGTTTTTTAAAAGAGATAAGCTCATAACAGATACTGTATGTATTATGATACAACGCACGTAAGGCGTTTATGTCGAATAAAGAAGAAATACATTACTTTATATCAAAAAGAGAACAAGACCAAGAGTACAGTGGTACTTTCAGCTCAAAGCTAACGTTGTCATCCCTATGTTCCCATTGTAAGAGATTGCTAATGGATATCTTGTCAGTTCAGATTGCTAAAGAACAAACGGAAATGGTTGTTTTAAATACAGTAGCTGAATAATTCAAAAGTCATTCAGCTACTGTAGAGATATCAACGTCCGATCATCAATGTCCTGCCATCACTGTGATTGGATGTGAAGCAAAGAACTATACTTTTTTTGGTGCCATTTACAGGAGATTAAGATTCAGCCTCTGGGCACCATGAATTTGTGTTAATGACTTAAGAATGGAATTGAAACATTTTAAAGTTGTAGTGATATTTCACAAAAAACACGCTGGAGGTTAATAAGTATCTGTGGAGGAATTTAACTGTTTCTTTGTGTCTATCTCTCAGGTGGATTTTGCCAAAGTCCTCCATTACGTCGGCGCTGGAGTGACCTTCCCCTCCAGCATGCTGTTTGTGTGTCTGCAGTCGGCTCTGACCTACAGACTCGCTAAGACCCAGGAGGAGTATCGGATAGGTCACCTGCGGGTGGGGATGGCCCTGCTGGCCCTCGTCGCTCTGGTGCTCAGTATCCTGCCAACATTCTGTGTGTCCACTAACTTTGTCTTTTTAGGTATTGTTAAATGTCGATTTGTATTTTTCTTCTCTTGCTTGGTGAGTTTTGAGGTGTGACATCAGTTAAACTATCCCCTAACAAAAAGAAGACAAGATTATCGAAAGACATGAGTTTCAGAGATAATTTCCCCCCTGTTGTTTCTTCAAAATGTCTCTAGATACAGATATAGCAATAACACAGTGCTTTTAAAACAAAATCAGGACACAAAATACATGACATTTAATAAAAGAACACAAAATCTACTGGGGTTAAATCACCATGCGGGGAAGAATGTTCGAATCCGTCCTTGGACTATTTGCCCTCTTTCAATACTGGCACTTCAATAAATGCACTAGCGGCACAAAGACATCTTTAAAAAAAAAAAAATTCAATTAAAGCATTAATGAAATTAAAACAAGACAAAGGAAGGATAGAAAAAGTAGAGAGAAAAACGAATTCTGATTAAAATCTAATGTTAAAATAGGAAATTTCAATAAATGTCAATAAAAGAAATACAAAGAAATACAAAAAAAGAATGAAAAAGTACAACATTTCCTGCAAAACATATTGACGTAGAAATATAAAGTAACAAAGCGTTAATACCAGGATAATACTCACCTCAAAATTGTACTTCAGTATATGGTGGGTAGGTACATTGTGTGACGTGGCCCCCTGCTGGAGAAAAAAAACAACACTTACACCCCTTCCCTAAATCAAACTGTCAACCCTCAGTGTAATATATGTTCTATTTATAAAAAATATGAAAATAGATGCCTTAAATGAACACATCCATAAATCCCGTGTGAGGATGTTTATATTCCTGTGAGAGAGAGATGTGCAGATTGTCTCCCTCCTGCTTTTCAGCCATTGTTCTCCTTAACCCTTGACTCTCCAGGTGGAGTTTTCTTTTGCCAGGAGAGCTTCGCCCTGCAACATGCCTCCGCCATCTTTGAGTGGATCTACTGCATGCTCATCATGCTCTTCTACGGGACTTTTGCCTTTGAGTTCGGGGACATGTCGGGGGACACACTGATGGTGCTGTCCGGAGGAGGAGGAGGAGGGGGGGGGGTAAATGGCTTCTCCACATCTGGACACAAGACAGAGGTGAGCAGCGGCTCCAACCACCATCAGCCGGAGAGTTTATCGATGCTGTAACCACAGTGTGAACAAGCTTCAGGATCCCTGGAGGTCAAAGGACCACACATACTGTATGGAGGACCTGATTATGGATGCGCTTGCACACAGCAGTGACCAAATACTTTTATCCTGCTTTGCTTAATTTATGTGCAGGTCACAGCTGCAGAACATTGCACAATAATGCAAGTGCCTTTTGAACCCTGACAGAGATTCACGTGTGCACACACACACACACACACACACACACACACACACACACACACACACACACACACACACGTGTTTGTTTTAATTCTCTCAATGTAACAATGCCTCTCTGCATTCTTGGCCAAAGTCGCCTTTCATCAGACCGAACCTCCTGAACTCGCCTCAGATGTAGCGGCGTCAGTTTGTTTGAATGTTTAGATGTTCAGAACACTGAGCTCCGTGTAAAAAACACTCAGGAAGTTTTTGTTACATTAACCGCTTTTGCCTAATGTAAGGGAAAGTTTTCCAAAAGACAATGGATGGACTAAAGGTAACCATGTGCCAAAAATAATCATTTTTATAGCAGGTTTATCTGCCCTATGTTGAACAGTTTATTTTATAGTTTTTTATGATATCCAAAGAAACATTCTGTGTGAATTTTTATGGGGATATTGCCAGAGTAGCTGTCTCATATTAAAGCTCTTTTGTATATTTTGTTGTATCAGCTCTTTTCCAAAGATATGTATCATTGCTCTCAGTAACAATGACAGTTTTACAGTTTGAATGGGACCAAACTATCCGTATTGTGATAATACGCAGACATACTTTTACAAGAATAATGTATGCAGAGAACAAAATAATTAAAGTAAGAAATATGTAATGCCTCTTGTTCAAATGTTTTATTGTTCAAAAATCATATTTACATCATTTTCCAGGACAAATGACACAGCATTTGTTATAGGAGTGAGATTTTGAATTGGAGATGTGCCGCACAAGGTGGCAGATTCACAGCATTTCCTCTGATTTTATAACTTTTTAAAACAAGTATAGATAACATCTAATCTAATCTTTGCAGATGTTTGCAGGCATTAGTGAAATTCACAGTTTGGATTGTCAATTCATATAAAACTAAAGAATTAGTTGTTCATTTCAAACAATGAGTTTAAAGGACATATGGTATTTTGTTCAGAATGCAGGTTTGTGCATTTATTTCCTACTAACACGAAAAAAAACAGTACCACTTTACAATAAGACTACCCTTATTTACGAATAGTTTGTAATTCATTTATTAATTAGGTTGTGAACACTTTATAAATCATTAATAAGCTTTTATGAGACATGAAATAAACAGGGCAACGTTGACCGGTTGCTTGCCAAATAGTGAGCCCACATTTATCTGTACTGCTAAGCCTTATTATAAATGTTAGTAACTCATTAATAAATGGTCATAAGAGATGCCAAGAAACATCAAGATGGAAGTGGGGGAAATCAACTCAGTGAACAACAGATACCAAGGATGCTGGCTGATGAAGAAGACAAAGTAAGCTAGGTAGCCAATATAAGGCTTAGTCATCTTGCCAAATAGTGAGCCTGTGTTGATGTATGAAAACTGTTAGAACTGGTTTATAAATGGTTCTTAATGATTAATAAAGTGTTTACTACCTAATTAATAACCTAATTATAAACCCTTTATGAATCCTTTATAAGGCTAGTCTTATTGTAAAGTGGTACCAAAAAAACGATTAAGACTTTAGACTGCATTTTGTTATTCTGATTATCAACTTAAACTTGCAGCTTTCTTTAAAAATGTATAGGAAGCAGTCAGGATTTGTAAAACTGTAAAGTGATACATCTCTGACATTTGAATCTTCATCTAATTCATCTCGGGATCTTTTATAGTGTCTGACTTCATGATGGCTTAGTACCAAAATACATGAAACCATGTACCTTGGAAAAGAAATATAATAGCATGTTAGGGATACAGGTGTGTGCGTTGATTCCTAAATAGAAAAAAAAACAAGCAATGAAAACTATAAATTAAGACCTTTAGAGGTTTAAGTTCATCCAGTATGGCAATACAACCTGCAGAAATGCACCAGCAAGCTTCTTACCGAAAAGTAATAATAAGCAACAAAAATATCTAATATTTCCAACATTTGAAGTGTCTTTGGGTATGTATTGTTGTCATTTTGATTAGATTCAGTGTCTGCATGTCATTTGGTTTATTACCAATAATGTACAACTTAGAAATAGATATAAAGAAAATGTAATGATCTATTCAGAATAGTGGAAGTTTGTGAATTCACTTCTTAAAGCTCTAAACACTGTAGCGTTTAAGGCTTTAGAACAGAGGTGTCCAAACTACGGCGCGGGGGCCAACTGCGGCCCGTGTTCCATTTTAAATTGGAATGCAGCAAATTCTAAAAGTATAGTAGAATATAGCCCACACACACAACTTCTGCTTGTCTTATATTGTACTTCTTAAATATGTAAAATGTAAGATATACATTTTCTTAAAGCATATTCAATAATCAAGAATAATTTAACTTATCAGGCAATATTCCTCACCTTTAATGAGCCGCCCATGTGTTTGGACACCCCTGCTTTAGCCTATCCAACTAACACCTGCAGACACTCTGTTTAAAGCCAGCAAACACACTTAAAACTGCTGACAACTATAATCAAAATATCTAAAGTAAATGTTAAGATACATGCAGCAAATAAATCGTTCTGATTTACAACTTTTAACAGACTAACATTTTTAAGTTCTTTGAGATATTGCTGTATAACCTCTTTGATCTCGTCTTTGTTTGGTAGGGAGTGTACGGAAGCCGTGAGATGCAAGTGAGAGAAAACAATTCTGTTGATCAATTTTTTTTTATCTCAAAAATATTCTCTCCTGTGTTTATGACAAAACATCACAGGAAATAAAATATTTTGTAAGAATATATTTAAAAGATTCTTTCATTTTTTACGTTTCATCTGTGAAACGGATGAGGAAAAAAGTTTTCCTAGGATAGGTTTTACATAACTTGCTAACACACACTATATTTATCTGTGTTGCAAAAGAGCATGAAGAAAACATTAATTCTACAGTTACAGTCCTTTTTAAAACATGGGGGTGCACTTCCGCCTCCTGAGGGCCGGAATATGTATTACAATAACAAACACTTAAAGAATGACCCAGATAAAAATAAAACAATAATAATATTATTTCAGCAAATCTTCTTGTCACCTGTTTTTATGTTATATTCATAGAAAAGAAAACTATTTAGATCAGATTTTAAAATTGGGTCACCGGAATTCTTTTTTTCTCACTTGCCTCTGAGGGGTCCATTTGTCTGCGTGAATACATTCTTGATTTAAAAGAAATTAATATAACATTAAAGTCACATCTGTTTTATCTTGAACATGGGCCAAAACAGTATGTTCAGGGTACAGATTTTATTTCAGGCTGAAAAATAAAACTTTTGGCACTTACATTCTTTACTGTATGTAATGACTTTAAGATCTTCCAGAAGGCTTTAGACCATACGGAGTAATACTAAAACCAGCATCGTACAGTATACATCAATACTGAAAAAATAACAAATGTTATTTTTCTTAAGACATTAGAAGTGTTTAAAAACGTTTGCATGGCTGCTCTCCCTTCAAATTTGGTCATTCACTTATTCTAGGGCAGAAACAGTTGCAAGCAACCACTTTATGTGTGAAACAAACTGCAGGCATGTGACTGACACTGAATCTATGGGACACAAATACCAAATAGCCTGCTCTTATTTCAGGTTACTATTGAAGGGTCATAAAGTACAGATGAAACCTCTCCAGCTCGGCCAATCACGGGAGATCATCTGCACCCACCCTGACCCATCCCTCTGATTTTCTCTTACTGGGTTACAGGGTCACATGGACAGCTATCTATACATCACTGACACACTCACACACACAGACACACATATACTCTAGAGGTTGAGGGTCTTTGGGACCTCCCAGGGGAACTCCTTCCTGCCAAAATGTCCGTAGCAGGCCGTCTTCTGGTAGATTGGTCTCTTCAGGTCCAGATCTCTGCACGACAATAAAGATCAAATCAGATGTTAACAGGTTAAACATGACCCATCTGAATAACAGTCAGAGGAGGAAAGTAACAAAGTACAATCATATAAGTACTGCGTGGAACAGGGGAACAATGCTCTGGCTGTAAAAAGGAATCAGATTGTATAGTAGTCTAGGAAAAAATGACCCCACTTCTCTCTTGAGGTATTAGTTTAGTAAACATTTCCTGACAAGTTAACTTGAATACTATTTGTATGTCTTCTTCAATACAACATGCAACATCCAACCTCTTTCCTCTGCCTTTAAAGATCTCTTTACCTCTCAGGTTTATATGTGACCCTTTGAATCCTTCTAATAAAATACTTCTACACTTTGGTATTGCTATTTTAACTTCTATTACCACTGAGTATAGTTACATTTTATCATTCAATTATCACTCTGCATATTATAACAAATAAGATGTTATCAGTTTGAATGCTGACCTGACGATGACGCCGGGTCTGAGGTCAAAGTTTTTGTTGACGACCTGCAGCAGCTCCTTCTCGCTCCGCTGAGAGGAGCCATAGGTGAAGAGGGAGATGGAGAGAGGGTGGGCCACTCCGATCGCATACGCCACCTGAAAATACAGACAGGGAAGAAAATATACGTGATATATAGATTTTCATCTGCCAGACAGTGCCAGTGATCTGTTTTATAGATCTTGACTTATAACACCTGAATGGACCACAATATATATGGCCAAAAAGATGTGGACATCCGAACCCTCATAACAATTAAGACACAATCACTCAACCAAATGTAAGACTTTGAAGACTGGTAGTCCACATACAGTATTGATGGGATTTATTCCAGCAAAGCACATTAAATATATTTCTGTGAATGTGTACTTATTTGTAGTTCTCACCTGCACCAGCACCCTCCTGCACAGTTTGGCCTTCACCAGAGATTTAGCCACCCAGCGAGCAGCATAGGCAGCGGAGCGGTCCACTTTGGTGCAGTCCTTCCCAGAGAAAGCTCCCCCACCGTGAGCCCCCCAACCACCGTATGTGTCCACAATGATTTTCCTGCCCGTCACTCCAGCATCACCCTGACAAAAGAAATCACTCACAATTGACATTTCTATGGAACACAAACTACTGTTTCAGATGCTCATGCAAAAATCGTGTTACTATTCTTCTATCTCAATGTAAAAATAAGTTATATGAATCTATTATACTGTAAGATAAGATCATTCAATCCTTGTGCTGTGTAAAGTTATGTATAGATCTGGGGCCGTATTCACAAAGCATTTTATCTTACCGCTAGGAGTGCTCCTAACTCGCGCTAAAACATTTTACGTAGGAGTTTTTTCTTAAAAGTTATTCACAAAGCCGCTGAGACCTACTCATACTAAGGATAAATCACTAAGAGTGAACTAAGAGTGACGCGCCGTTGCTATGGATTACGTCGATTCTCGTGCATGAGTTTAGAAGCGGTCAGTACGGTGATTGGTTGTTCAGAGTAGGCGGTCTCGGTGAAACTCATCCGCAACATCCCACAAACGAGCCCACTAAAACAAGGAAATAGCCTAGGCTAGAAATGTATTCCTATCAAATAGTTATGGACAGTGCAGTTAGCAGAATACACGCATGATGACAAGTTTGTGCAGACCACGATAATGACGTTGTATATGCACGTTAAAGGAAGAGAGCAAACAATAAAAATACGTAAATTGCATTAAATCAAGGAGGCAATTAAAAGCACCCTGCAAACTATTATCCAATGAGCATATTTCCAGCACTTAAACACTTTCAATAACAGCCCATACCGCCGTTCAAGTCCCCC